AAAAAAAAGTTATGATTACTCGTAATTAGGTAAAATTTTTAAAATAATTATTACTTTTTGGTAATTACGCTCATATGAGACACATTTAAAATTTGGAAGAATATTGAAAAAATAATWAATTAAAAATAATGATTACTTTTTAAATACGTGTTAATTCAATAAAAATTTTAAACAAGGATTACTTTTTAATTCCTGTGCTCAGATGGCAGAAGTTTAAAGTTTTTAAGAATATCAAGAAAGTTTATGTTACCTGTAATTGAATAAAAGTTTTTAAATAATGATTACTTTTTGATTACTGTGCATATATGATAAAAATTTGAAATTTGGAGGCATATTAAAAAAAATAGTAATAATGATTACTTTAAATGATTACCTGGTTATTTATTTCTTKAACAAGGATTACTTTTTAATTACTATGCTCACATGGCAGACATTTAAAATTTTGAAGAACATCAAAACAAGTAATGATTACACGTAATTAGATACTTTTTTTTTTAAATAAAGATTRTTATTTGATTACTGTGCTTACATGACACAAATTTGCAATATGGAAGAATAATGAAAAATAAATAAAAATAATGATTACTTTTTAAATACCTTTTAATTAATTACATATTTAAAATAATGAATACTTTTTGATTATTGTGCGTACTAGGCACACATTCAAACTTTTGAAAAATATTAAGAAAGTAATGATTACTCGTAATTAGGTATTTTTTAGGTAATTATTACTTTTTGATTACTGTGCATACATGACGCATGTTTGTTATTTGGAAGAATATTGAAAAAAAAAATTATAATAATAGTGATTACTTTTTAAATACCTATTAATTTAATACATTTTTCAAATAAGAATTACTTTTTAATTACTGTGCGCATGTTTAAAATTTTTAAGTATATTAAAAAAAGTAATGATTATGCGCAATTAGGTAAAATTTTTTAAGTAATAATTACTTTCTGATTACTGCGCTTATATGACACACCTTTGAAATTTTAAAGAATATTGTAAAAATAATAATAATAATGATAACTTTTTAAATACCTGGTAATTAATAATATTTTTAAAATAAGGATTACTTTTTAATTACCATGCTCACATGGCATAGGTTTAAATTTTGAAGAATATCAAGAAAGTAATGATTACTCGTAATTAGGTAAAAAAAAATTAAATAATGGTTTTTTTTATTACTGTGCTTGCATACACAAATTTGAAATTTGGAAGAATATTGAAAAAAAGAATAAAAATAATGATTACTTTTTAAATAGCTGATAACTAATTACATTTTTAAAATAATGATTAATTTTTGATCATTATACATACATGACACAYGTTTAAAATTTTGAATAATATCCAAACAAGTAAATATTACTCGAGTAAACAAAAAAATAAAGCAATATTTATTTGTATTTRTCACAAGAAGTAGCCAAAATTACTACCTACATAGCATATAAAACAGAGGAACAAATATTGTTTAGAAAACCTAGTCAAGATCTCTTACCATAGCTTCTGTATCTAGATTATTCTCAATTGTTGTTTTATACTATAATCATAAAATATTTTCGCTTCCTCTATAGGCGTAATCTTCGAATTCCTTTCAGTGCCAATCATTAAGGCTTTTTCCTCAGCCACCGCTATACTCGTAATCGAATCACAGATTAAGGTTATGTTGGGCGTCAAATACCTTGTGTCGGGCTTCATTGGCTCGGTAGCTACGCTGTTGCCTAGACTACCAGAAACCAATGTTGGCGATCTTGTAATGGGCCTCTTTGCTGTTTGTTTTCTACTCGGCGTTGCGGTAAGTAAAAGTTGATCTAAAGAAAATTTGTTATATTTTAGTTACATTTAATTTATTCCTTTAGCAAATGGAAAAATTAGCGGATAATCCAAAAATTAATCGCAAATTGAGCACCGTGCTGCGTTACTTATCGTTCTCACGCAATACACTTGTTGTTATAATCACCGGCGCTGTATCATACATTTGGCTTAGCGAGGAAAACACCGTACCATATGCGCTGAGCGCCAACGCGCTCGCTGGACTACCCAACTTTACCATACCGGAATTCGCGGTGGTAACGCCCGATAAAACATATACATTTGTCGATATGTTAGCCGAATTRAATGTGGGCATTATTGTTATACCCATCGTTGGCATACTCACGAACATCTCAATTGGCAAACTGAGTAAGTCAAATATATAAAATAAGAAGTTTTCCGTCATCTAAAAAAATCGATCTAACGTAAACTAATCGACGTAAAACTAGTAAATTTCTCATCGCTAAAAAATTCACGTTCGTACCAGTCCTCCAGTCCTCCGAATTTTCTACTGTCTCTCTCTCTCTATTTTTATGAGTACATCTAAAGTAATTAATGAAAATGTTTTCTCAAAGGTTCCGACAATGCATTGCGCACYTCAATGTGTCCTCACGTTCACTAAATCAAGGTTAGACTATCAGTGGTAATCATTATAATTACTTGCATTAATGAAGTAGTTTAATTCCTCTTACCTCTATAAACTTAACACGATATTCTCGCACACAATCTGATATTAAATAACTCATAACGCTTCAGATACCTTACGTCATGGTAGCTTTAATGGATTTTCTTTAGACTTCGTATCAGCAAATTATTAATATATTTACTCAAAGTTGAAATCCAAACACAATGTATTYTATAAAAAAAAACGTGATTTCAATTTCAAAATAATAAATTATGTAAATTTATTATTCAACAACGTAACTTTGAATATATGAAACAAAAAAACTAAAAATTTACATTATTACAACAAATTTTTAAAACTGGTACTTTAGAAGTAATTACTGAAAAAAAAATATTAATTAGGCAAATATTTTGACATGATTGTCTGTAAAAATGCATTGAAAACAAAATTGTTTACCGATAAATTATTAAAAATATTTTTTATTCACAAAAATATTTTCGTTTGCATGTAATTATATGCATAAGTTAATTACTACCAAAACAAACTAAAATATCAAAAAACTCGTACTTGCCAATATTTTGATTTTTATTTTTGATTCTGATTTTTAATTAGGTATGCAAATCAAACGATTTTTCTTACAAGTAATCATAACACGCCAAGCCAAAATTATCTTACAATCAATGCTTGGAAATTAATGATTTATTGCTTGCAATTACTAGCAACTTATGGAAATTTTAATGCTGTCAAAAATTCACTTGGCAAGCAGTCATTGTAATTATAAAACCCAAAAAAAGAAAACAGATTAATTAAACGATTCAATTACTTTCTTATTATTAATAAATAATGATGCTTAATATTTGTTGACACACTTTGCATTATTTACCAGCTACCACTTGCTTTACATAATGGAATTTTAATTACTAAATGAATTATTAATTTGTTTGTGACTTTGAGTCATATTCTTATGAATATTATTGTTTGTAAAATTTATTTCAGTGTGAATGTTTTCAAAAATAATCATAAAGTACTTGATTACATGTAATCATTACTTTTTGATTACAATAAGTAATTGAAGCAAATTGGCTTCTAGCAACTACTTTATTAATATTAACATATAAAAACTAATTTTAGTGTTTTTTTTCTATGGTAATCATAAAATACTTGATTACATGTAATCATTACTTTTWGATTACAAYAMRTAATTGAAGCAAATTGCTTCTAGCACTCACATTAGTGATATTAATATGCAGAAATTATTTTTAGTTTTTTTTCAAGGTAATCATTAAGTATCTACTTAATTATGTATACATATGCAATCGCTACTCTTATGACACAGATATTATATTTAAGGCCTTTCGAGTGTTCTAAGCGTTAGTAATACTCAAACAATACACAATAAATGCTATCACTATTTAAATAAACTACTCTGTACCGCTATCTGGTTAAATATTTTATAGATACTTAAAACAACTGCTAACGGCATTCGTCTGAATATGTAATACAATAAAAAAAATGTTGTCTTTTCAAATAACTGCAGTTAAAATTTCTGATAGCAAAAAACTTTTTATAAATATTGATAAATAATGATTACTGTTTCTTTACTGTGCTTACATGACACGCATGAAATTCGAAATATTAAAAAAAATATAATAATAATGAGGATTACTTTTTAAATRMCTGGTAATTTATTACATTTTTTACATAAAGAATAATTTTTAATTATTGTAATCACATGGAAAACTTTTAAATTTTTTAAGAATATCAAAAAAGTTATGATTACTCTTAGTTAGGTTTTTCTAAATAATTATTACATTTTGATTACTGTGCACAAATAACGCACTTTTGATATTTAGAAGAAAATTGAAAAAAAAAATTATAAGATATTTTCAAATAAGAATTACCTTTTAATTACTGTAGTCATATGGCACATGTTTAAAAWTTTGAAGAATATCAAAAAAATTAATGATTACTTGTAATTAGGTAAATTGTTTAAAATAATGATTAAYTTTTAATTACTTTGACATTGCTTTCTTTTTGCATTACTTTACAGCTCCTAAAGGTATGGTCGATGCCAATAAAGAATTGATTACAGTCGGTTTGTGTAATCTTGCGGGTTCCTGCGTACAATCTATGCCAGTTTCTGGCGCTTTCTCGCGTTATGCCATCAGTAATGGTTGTGGGCTCAAAACGCCAATGGCCAACTTGTATTTAGGTAATTTATTTTCCATTAATTTTCAACAACATAATATCAAGCTGATTACTTTCTAATTACGCAAATTAGGTGCTATTGTGCTGCTGGCGCTTGGCTTTCTYAGTCCCTACTTCAATTACATACCCGAATCAACGCTCGCCGCCATTTTAATGTGTTCCATTGTCACACTTTTGGACTTGAAGCTGCCCTGCCGCTTGTGGCGTGATGCCAAGCGCGATTTTTGCGTTTGGGTGTTATGTTTCACCGTGTGCATACTGTGCGGCGTAGAAGTAGGACTYTTGGTCAGTATTATAGTCACGGTGCTGCATTTACTATTCATGTGGGCGCATCCACAGATCTCGGTGAAAATTGAAGAGGTGCGTGTGGACATATAAATTTCTGTGTCATGCGATTATTTTCATATAAAAATATTTGTTACTTTCTTTTTTGTTGATTTTGTACTTTAGGTAAATGAGCTGCAGTACATACGCATTACGCCCGTCGGCGTCATCTATTTCCCCGCCATCAATCATTTGCGCGCCAAAGTGATGAAAGCCTGCGAACGCGTCCACTTCAGTCTRCCGGTCGTCATGGACTGTCACAAGATCACCGGCATTGACTTTACCGCAGCGCAGGGTRTCTCGAAGCTGCCCGACGATCTGTCACAGTCGGAAACGGGCGATGGCCCATTGTTGGTCATACACCGACTTGGCGCAGATAAACAGAAACTAATTCAAACTTCCGCCAAGCTGATATTCTGTGACGACGACGAGCGTTTATGCGAAAGTATCACTCAAGAATCGCTAAAGAATGGCAACGTAGTGTTAAAGGAACAAGAGAAAGCTATAAATGGGGTACTAAGTGAGACCCATTTAAATTTGCATTATTAAAGCGAGAAGACGAACAAGAAGTCCGGGACACACAGTGTGTACGCAAGCAAGTRAGCCTATGTGATAACTAGTGGAAATTAAAAGAAGAAAAATTCCACGAATGTAAATAAAAAKAATTGAGACAAATGCAAAACTTGCACGACCAGATGCATTCGTGTGCAACGCATCGTTAATGGTTGTACATATAATATTTATGTCATAGCTAGTTGCTAAGTGTTAGCTAGTGTATATATAATGTGAAATGTGTGCCATTGTTGTTGTCGTCAACGTTAAGCCAGACCAGAGAGTATTCGAATGTTTGTGTGAATAAAAAAAAAAATGCATAAATGTTCATTTAGTTGTAACTTCAATTTAACAATAAAAATAACAATAGCAAAATATTAATAWAWGCACATRTATGTACATATGTATGTAAATATAGTATTTGAAGATGAATAAGCGGAAACAATGTAAATAAATATACAAAATTGTTATAAGAATACAAAAATGCTTCAATATTATTTGTTTGGTGGCAATTATTTCATTAACTGTAATTGTTGATATGTGAAGTTGAAAGGTAAATATTTGCAAACGTTTCAGTCGCATCAAAATCGCTGGAAAATATTGATTTAGTGAGAAAAATTTCTAATATTGATAATATGCAAACAAATGTAGAGTGAAGAGCGAGCGAAAAAAACATTGAAGTACCACTGACCACTACAGAACTCGCGGTAGTGAATTCCGGTGAGATTCAGCACACCAAGCGTAAAAAACTATCGAATCTTTTTTTTTTTTTTTGTGTGATCACGCTTTAATTGATCGAACGTGCTAAAATTGCTTTGCCTGATTTACGGGGTTACATGGGTTTACGGGCTTCGAAAAATCTATTCTTTATTGTCTTCATTCATTCTTCATTTCTACAATAACTCTAGAATATTGTCAGGTTAAACCGAGTAATAGTTTTGAAGAGACAGTCTTCAGACTTTGTGCGCTCGAAGCTAGCTACGCCTGGTACGCCGTCTTTAAACGCRTTTTTGTCGCGTTTTGAAGGCTGTTGGCAAGATTTCTCGAGAACTACTTAACCGATCGTCATGAATATTTACACAGGTCTTTGAGACACACACAACAATTTGGACGGAAGACGTTTTTTTTTTTTCGATTACAACTATTTGAAAACAGAAAAAATATAGCGAAATATTCTCTGAAATTTTAATTTTTTTTCCTTCGTACAGGTTCTAAGCTAAGGTTTTTACTAAAAAAATTTTCACTTTAGATGATCCTATACACCCTATGCCCCTTGCCACTGCAAACCTAAGTAACAGTTTACAGTTCTATAGTTTAATAAAGTGCTTGGTAATGGCACTTTATACGTTTCCTTTAATAGTTGTTTGTGAGCGAAACAGTAGTCGATTATGCTCATCAACGAACTCCGCCTCATACTTTTACTTGGATTTCAGCTGGTCATGATCCTATCATTTAAATATATCAGAAGAGCGTGGTATATTATAAGTTTTTAAAATCTGGCGAAATCATAAATATGGAACGCTACCGACTCAAAATATTAAAGAAAGTGGAAAACAGGGGCTGCGAGGTTTTCCTCACTTGTTTTATATGCCAGATCTTGSCTCYTCTGTCTATCRTTTGYWCCAGYCGATGCAGAACAGCCTCATTGGATTACGAGTAACATCAGAGAGGGTATCAAAAAGTGACTTGATTCWTTCTTAGCCGCCAAGCCAGATCTTTTTCGTTGGACTCCATAAATTGTCAGACATACGGAAAAATTTGTTAGCTTCAGATAGGCAATAATTTGATTGATACTRTTATAGATGTTTTTCTTAAACAAATGTTTTGAAAAAAAAAATGTACTATATTCTATTTATCGACATGCCCGTTCAACAGAAGAAAATATTTATAAATTGGAGATTCTTGCTTATGGTGCTTGAAAATCGTCAGAAGATGACATTTCGTTAAAGAAGAAAAAAGTTAAAGCTCAGGTTAAATCTCTSGCGAGTCCATTCGATATTTTGGGTWTGAAACGCTCGATTCGTCCRAATAAATCTGATTTTTTCGAACAGAGTACCAGAGAGAGCAGGCCTCTTTGGACATCAAGCGAATTCCAATCATGAAGAGCATTATAACTGCCGAAGTCGCCTAGGTTTATCAGTTTGACATGCAGACAAGTCAACAATAATCGTACTGAAGAAAAAAATATGCCGGAACCAATACAAATCACGCTAAAGCTGTTCAAAAATCAAGGCTGCTCATTGTCTTTTCGATATTCGTGGTTTGGTGCATCATGAATTTGTTCCGGAGGGACAGAGTTCTRTTGAGCGTATTGGGGCGTGTTTGTGAGAACATCTYTCGAAAATCGCCGGGCATTGTGTTCGAGAATGGCTGKAATTTTGAAAGAACAATTCATGGATTTTACACGATGATAATTCACCTTCGCAACGTGCTCCAGTTGTGACCGGCTCAGTGTGACTTTTTTCTTATTCCCCAAACTGAAATTRCCGCTCCATGGAACCCGTTTTCACTAGAAGAGTTAAAACGAAATTCGCTGAAGGAGCTGACGTATTAAAAGTATCATAAGTGTATTACATTACGTGAGGATTACCCTGGAATTTTATTTACACTTTTCGGGTACTTTTTGGTAACAATGTATGTATTACATGGCGAAAAGTCGTTGGACTRACAATTAAAGATAGTTTTTTGAATGAATATATGAAATATGATAAAAAAAATAATAAATTGATTTAATAGCCCGCAAAATTTTAATACCGTTTCGATAGTAAGAAGGTTTGAAATTTCCATTTGCTAATATTTTGTGGCTTTTTCTTCAATTTATCGATGATACGAMGATGAGTCGAAGTTTTGTCCGGCAAAGGACATTGAAAGAGCAACACYGTATAGATTCGTAAACGGCATGACCTATCCATTGCAGAAAAATCTCGACCAAATCCTTAGCAAATTTCACAACTTACAAGTATTACGATAATCAAAAATATTCTTACTAAACACTGCTTAAAATAATGTTCG